TCGGCACTGAGCAATACCCTCGTCATCCGGGCAGTTGATTAGGGCGGTCGTCAACGGGCCGCAGCGCGTGCCAGGAACTATTTGCTTTTTCCAGGCTAATTTAGTCATTTTTTCCAACTTTTCACTGTTTTGGCTACTTTTTCCCAGATTAGCAGCTCCTTATCTTCACAAGGTGGAAAAAATGACTAAATTAGCCTGGAAAAGCAAATAGTTCCTGGCACGCGCTGCGGCCCGTTGACGACCGCCCTAATCAACTGCCCGGATGACGAGGTTACCTTCCTGCTGGAACGGTGGAAGAAGTGGATGCGGGCAGGGACATTGATATGGGTGCGTACCATCTCAACATTAGCGCCAGCTGGCTGATGTGTTCCCTCCGCGCAATATTCTCGCCTTAGAGGATTTCTCTCTGTGCTAAAACAAGTACTTGATCTGTTCCAAAAACAAAAAGTGTCTCAACAAAGCCAGCGGTCGCCACATTTGGATGGCAGTGCGCAGTTAACTCCCCATACCTTCAGAAGCACGCATCGTTTGTGATGCATCACAACGCGCGACGGCGCGTCGTATTTGACGCGAGGGCAGGGGCGGTGGCGCATTTGACCTTAAGAAACTTTTTTTTGTGGTTGATTCCTCCTTGTTTCAGACATATAAAGCCAGATGGAGTCCTCATTTGCGCCATTGTTGAGACTGCCAAAGATCTATACAGCTACTATTTCGGATAGTTGGAGATGATAATTAAATCCTGACGACCTCCCCCTCCCCCCGCTCGACAGCAAAATTGTGTGGAATAACCAGAACGAAATCCCGGAAATTATAGGACGGTTGTCCAGGAAAACCGGGAAATTTTCCTGTTTCACATTGGGTATATATTCCCCTTTCCGCTCGCAGGAACATTCTGGGCTGAAAACTGGGAGTTTTGTGATCTGTGATGTGAAGTGATCACAACGCGATGGCGTGCCCTGCCTCCTTTTACCTCCTCCTTCTCTGAGGTATAGGTTGCCTCCTAGCCGGTCAGAGCACGCCCTGCCCTTTAGCGGGGAGAATGCGAAATTGAAAGACCTTTTTCCACCAGAATCTTCTTCCTCGAACGCATCCCTTCCCCCATCCCACCAACATCTTCCTAACTCAGCTTACCACGTTTTCGTTTTTCTGGAAATCCTTCTGATTTTCCCGCAGGAAACTGCAGCTGAAGACATTTTTCCTCACAAAGCGAATGCGACCCCCGTTCCCTCCCTACAGCGATCAAATATGCTTGCATCGTGGGTAACCAAACGTATGGCGTGCCCCGTTGCCGACACTCCAGCATCTCCACTCGAAAAGGATAAAAGGTGAACGAATACGAATTACCGTTTCTCACTCATTCACACTTCTTTACCTTCCCCCATGCTGACAATAACATTACAAAATACCAAAGTGGTAGAAAATCATAAGAACGAGAAAATGGTTCCAGGAAATGCTTCCCGCATATAAAACTACCAAACTCGACAGCCTTTCTACGACATGTACTCTTGAGAGTATTGCTCATACCCTCTAAAAACAATTCAAAATGTTGAAAGCACGAATATTTTATTAAGCTTTTTCTATATTATGGCTATTATCATTATGCCTATTAATGCCACTCTGTTGTTAATGTAAGCATCACAATTACAGCATCACAAAAACTTAAAGCTGTTGCGGCGATGTGAGATATCTGATGAGATCATTCAATCGATTGCAGTCACTACTTGTTATGACTATATCGAAAGCTTTCAGCAACGGCATCTGAAAAAAAAAAAGCGGTCACAAAAAAAGTCGCTCAAAGGTTATGAAGAACAAGGTAATGAATAACTGAGGTAAATTTTGATGGAAACCTGTTTAGGGGTCTGAGCCCTGAACACGAATACCACATTAGCTTGGAGAGCAAAGGCTCACAAAAACACTAGTACGGTGTGATATTCGGCGCCACACCGGTAGTGCGGACGTCCGTAGGCGCTGCTACGCCCAAAGCGAATGTGAGCATTCGTGTTGAGGAAATCAAACTGACCCAAACGCCATGTTTTCATGAAGTTGATGACGCGTGGGGTTCTCAGCGCCTGTATTGCGAGTGTCATGTGTTTCTATGCCAAGCCAATACTATTTGTTATCTAGTTCGTCAAACTGTTTTGGAGACAAAATTATAGTCAATATACCCCTCAGACCGATTTCCATAGAAATTCGCCCGAAATATGAAGGAGTGGTGTTTTAAATGGTAAAGCGAGACCTAATTTTTTGATCGACATAAGAAACCTACCTCTTCTTCCAGGACACCGATTTTTAGGATTTTCTTCTCTTGCCACCCGTCCACCATAGAAGCATCTGATTCACTATCACCTATTACTACCACATTAGTTCGCCTTGAATACATCCTATCTACTCCATGAATGAGATCGCGTAAATGAGCCATAGTTTTGCTTAGCGAATGAACAGGGGGACATGTGAAACCGGTAACGTAACCGATCTGAAATGAACTTAATTTAACTAGTGTATCACCAATATTTATTTACCTATACAAAACAAAATTCACGAATTTCTCATGAAGCGCCTTGTGCCTTAGGAGGGGCCCAGTTCGACCGAGGCGTAGTCACGTCATTTTCTAGCACGGCAAGAGCAGCTTATGCTGATTCGGTGAGAAGGTGTAGCAGAAGGGTGTCATGTTCTGACGTGTTTAATCCATCTAAGAGAACATCACGTTTCTCGGATATGTGACAAGACAACTCGGTAATTATGCGCGCTGGGGGCCATGGCATACACCGTATGGAACGAGCTGTTCCTGCCCAGCCTCTTGAACTTTAGTAATCAAAGGGACAGCGCGAAAATTAGATACAGCTATCATTGGAGTTCATGCTCTGGACATTGAGTTCGGTATGGCTTTCGCTCTGCTCTAAACAGAACTGTTGTTACAAGGACTCGGGACTTGCTCCCCCCGCCTATCGGCGAGAGAATGCACACAAGATAATATAACGTGGCCTATCCTGCCAAAGAGTGGCTCCCAAGGCACACAACGCCTCAAGTAGAATTCATATTTTTCCATACCTCATCAAAAAACATTTTGTTTGCTGCTATCGTTAGGTTGCCGGGAATGTGCCCCAATAATTGTCGTATAGCTTCCTCGATTATATCGGTAATGCCAGCAGAGAATACTAACAATGGTATGGACAGTTCTTCGAGCAGATGAAGAAATTGGCGCATACTTTTTCTGAACAAAAATAATTATTGTTGCTCTGATTATTTTAGAACAAAGGTAACTGTAAACGTTAGCAAAGGCCAAAAAATGAGGTTGCCGTAAAAAATGGGATCGCCGCAAAAGGGATGAGAACCTTGCTCAAAGAAATCTGAAGAATAGTCCTTCCGCGTGCGAGATGGGTCCGCGGCTGCGGTAGCGTGACATATTTTCCGCTCGAGAATGCATGGGAATTTGTTGGGATAGTGATACCCGGGTGCCGTCTCCCAATTCCGCGCGCCCTCTAGGTGCAGCATTTGCGTCAATTCCAAAATCCCGCACCGAACGCGGACCCAGCCGTAGAAAACAATCAGAAGGAAGAAGGCATGAACAAGTAGTACGCCCTGGTATGATTAGGTGTGTTCCGTTCCGCAGCGCGGGTGGATTATGGCGATGGCACCCGAGTATCACTACCGTTCAGCCCCGTTCCCGTACAGTAGGGCGGAAAAGCGGCTCGGTAATGCAGCTGCTACTAGGACCCACGAAGGTGAGTGTGCCGTTTGTCTTTTAGCTTAAGAAGGATGGAGTTTAGGAACGGGTGAATCTCTTTCATTGAGCAAAGAGAATTCGGGTTATGCTGATTGGATTTTTGCACAAGAAGTACTTTAAATGTCCTCGCTTATCTACCTCCCCGAAATCTCTGATACCACGGTAATGCTGCATCCATAAATCGCAAATATGGAGAATTCGCGACTTCGGAGAGTCTGCGACAAAGGTTAAGGACGCCGTCTGAGACCGCCAGGTGGTCGGAACTAAATAGGAAAAGACATTTTTGCAGCCATGCAGCCACTCTTTTTCCCTTTGTGCGGCGATGAGAAGGCGAGGGGGGGAGGTGGTGCACCAATGACGTTAGTTTCTGGTTCCTCGATCTCACAAGATGTATTTGGATCGACGGACCCCGCCCCTAACTGTTCCAAAGAGCTCGCTATTGGGGAAAAATGCCTGAACTACCTGGGAAAAATGCCTGAACTACTCCTTGCCGCCGGTTCTTCCTTATCGTGAACTCCTCACTTTCGCAACAAATAAAGGAACAAGTTCTTTAGCGGAATAAAGAGACCTCACAAAGGGGCACTTTTAATTTTAATCAGTTAAAAATTCAACTGAAAAATTGAACAAACCTCCAAATTATCCTAGAATTGCGCACTAAATTGGGAATATCATCACGATGTACCATACTCCGGACAATGGTGTCGTGAGAAGCGTTCCACCTTAATGTTTCCTTTCAATTTAGAGAGAAAAACCATACGGACGTCACCAACATTGGATCGCTAACCAATAGCTCCTTATAATTGAACGAATGCGCTGAAAGTTTAGGAGGAGAGGGAGAGGGTTTTATTCAGGAGGCCCTACTCCTGAACTGTGCGTGGCACTGCGCGAACCAGAGTTTTTGGCCACTTTATTAGACATAGCACTACAACATTAAATCAAATAGGTCACGGCAGCCTGCGCCCTATGCTGTCTACCTATTTGATGGCCTTGATCCAGAGAACTCGACAACTGATAATTTGCTATCTTCGGTTTTAAATTTCGTCGATCACTGGATGAACCAATGCCATTCTACAGCTGAAACCGTGGAATAACGAGCGTGACCTAACAAGGATCTTTGAAACATAAAAAATTATTGGATTCATCATCGAGTTTGTTTCTGCAGCAAGGCCCCGAAATGAAGGGTGGAGGATGTAAGCCGCCATTACCTAATTAATTTGACGTCAAAGTGCTATGCCGAGATCCATAACTAGCTAGGGTTGCTTGTTTCCGCGTGAGCGAAAACTAGCAGCCCTAGCTAGTTGCCGCGGCTCAGAACTTCTGAACCACACCATATAATCGTTGACGGATAGCTGAGAGAACATAGATCTCTCATCTCTCGCTGACCACTGCGAGCTTTTTGAGAA